TATAATATATTATTTATATATATATATTAATATTAGGGATATCAAACTAGCTCGTCGTTCTCGAACAACTCTTGTTCGGCTCGTGTTCGTCTCGTTCGTTAAGAAACGAACACGAACAGTGACTTCATGAACAATTTCGAACACGAGCTTATTTGAAACAAACTAAAAAACAAACTAAATTTCAAACGAACTAAATTTCAAACGAACTGAATACGAACACAAGCCTGTTCGTTTGTGTTCGGTTCGTTTACACCCCTAGTGATGTTTTGATCAAGAAAAATGGACATTATATAGGTGGTTCTCGTGTTCTAGTTAAGCCATACAAGAAGTCGAGGATGGTGGACAGGCATGTATTGGGAAGAATAAGCTTCCAATGCATCATCCTTGTCAATATCTTGATTTGGATTCAGAGCTTTTTGGGATTCCAAGGAATGCTGATTGCTCAAGAATGATTAAATTGCACCTCGGGGAACAATAAAAGATGATAAAATTGGAAAGAAGCCGATTCTTTCATTTCAATTTAGTACACAAACACCAACAAACCCTAAACTCTTAGAAGTTGTAGATTCTAATAATCACTTTGAAGAATATCATTTGGGCTTTACTCTTGATTTTTCGAACATTGATTTATCTAGTCATGTCAAAACTAAAAATACAAGCAACAATTACAGTTACAAAGAAAGTGGTTACATTTAGCTTCCTGATCTCCACCATCGGTTGGAAGCAGCTTTAATGGACTATGAAGAAAAAAAGAAACTTTTTTTCCACCCTCTTCTATTGCACTGATCTATATTTCCTAACAAACCACCTTCATACAAGTCAATAAGAAAAGCAATGTGAAAAAATTAAACATTGATGCTATAGTTTTTGATAATTACATTTACAAAACATATTGACATCAATCTCACAACGTATGTTTATAAGAACTTGAGTGCTAAGAAGTTACTTCAATCTTCTGAGGTTAGTGCAAACAACTCATGTCTATATAAACTATAAAGAAACTTTTGTTATTTACGGATGATCATGTTTTTGTTTGTAGGGGACTTCTAGTTAAACAATCAGCTTAAAATTGGCCCAAAGTTGTGAATAATAATAAAAAAAAAACCAATCAAAACCTTAAAATCTTTCCAAAAATTTAAACATTAAAATATTAAACCTTCAAAATCTTTGCAAAATTTTAGAATCTTTCAGAAACATCTAAATTTAAAAAATCATAAACTTAAAATATTTTTGAAAATTTCAAAATTCTAAACAATTAAAACTTCAGAAACTCTAAAAACTCCAAAACCTTTCCAAAAACTTCAAAATTATAAACAATTAAAATTTCAAAACGTTTTCCAAAACTTCAAAATCTTAAACCCTTAAACAACTTCAAAATTTATTCAAAACTAAAAATAACCCTTCTGCAAAACTTCAAGATCTTTCTTAATTTAAAAACCAACCCTTAAACACAAATTCAAATATCTAACAAACTTTAAATAACCTCAAAAAAACTATAAATACATTTCAAATAACTAAAAAAAAGCTTCAAATAACCCCCAATGACTCCAGACAAACTTCAGATAAACTTCAAACAAACTTCAAATAAATTTTGAACAGCTTCAAATAAATTTCAAACATTTTTCAATCGTCAAAAATTCAAACATACTAAAACTCTCATATCAAACTTGCAACTCAAATTAAAAAAAATTGAATCAAACATTTTTAGCTCAAGTCAAAGTCAATTTAAATCCTATCACCAAAAAACAAACCTTTTAAGTCATATCCAACCTTCAAATAAGTATTGAACTCTCTTAACAAAAGTATAATTCCAATCCCTAGGGTGCACATTCTCAGAGTGGGTTATTCCTTTTTCTTGGAGTTTTCCATGACATATAGTCATTGGACTGTAAGTCCCAACATTTCAATTCCAAGAACAAATCTTTTCAAATTGAGTATAATTATTTGAAGTCCTAAAACATTAATCTTCAAGAAACCAATCTTGTAACTTTGCATAATATAAGCCAATACTTTAATCAAGAGTATTCTCAGAAGCCACAACTGCTGTAATGTAATTAATTATGGGAGCTTACCTTTGTTGGAATACTATAACCCATAATAAAATGACATTATTTTACACCCATAATGTAAGGGTAAAATATTGGGTTATGCAGACCCATAAATTTTTAATATTTTTTCTCCTTTGAATGATTAAATCCATTTTAAGATAATATTTCAAACTCTTGGGGTAGTGTATTATTTTTTAAATGACAAATCCAACCATTTAAATAGAAATCTTTCAGAATTTGTGTTGAACCCCCAACTTAACAACCAAGCGACCATCTTTTTCGCACCACAAAATAATGAAGCACCGTGCGAAGTGACCACCAATGCCATGAAGTTACAAAGAGTCCTACAAAACAATAAATTATCCTGAGCATTGTGCAGTGACACGTCTCTAAAATGGCATAAAGAGCCCTAGGAAAATACTCTCAAGTATGATTACTCCCGAACGCTATGCAACAATCCATTCAACATACAAATATTTTTTTTGTAGGGCAAGGCTATTAACGTGTAATCATTAAAGTTTTATTTCTTTGTGTATTTACCGTATTTGAGACATGTGCATTAGTAAATCAAGACAGTCATCTTGCAGGGAGCTATGCCCGATAAGGAGGAGATGTAATGATATGAGTGAATCCATTTTCTACAGGTGCTACCTTGCTCTCCTCTAGTTGGGCATGGCTCACTTTGTTGCATGTAGATGATTTTTTGTTAACCTTATTTTTATGCAATTTTGGTTTTTCTTTTTGAACTTTTAATATGTATTTTTTAGTCTTTACGATTAAGTTTATATAAAAAAATAAGATAGGAATGGGTTCCAAGGCGCTTGATGTGTAGAATCACATAATGAGGACCAGGAGCAGTGGTCTATGTATCATATCTTAATTTCTAATTTGTATTATTGTATAGCATTAGGGTTAGATATGTATATACGGAGCCTGATTACCTTTTTCCTTTTTGGGATATATTATCGACCTGACAACATCTGACCTTTTTATTATATATGCATATGACTTGCTTATTTTTTGTAGTGTGTTGCACATTCTAGCTTTCCTGGCTTGTGATTTGTCTGGGAAGCTCCTTGAATTTACTTAGACTATTTAGGGCTAATAAAATATCTTTTTTACAAAATTTTTCATAATAAAGAATTAAAATTAATAAAAAAATTAAGATTAAAATATCAACATTTTAATTCTTCCTTACTTTCTCACATGATTTTCAGGCTAGTTTTAAAATTGGTTTTAATGTTTGGCTATCACCCGAATCATGCTTAATAGGGCCTCCATATTAGGGTTTGATTAGATAATTGCAACATTCTGCATGTCCCGAAGAGGAGCCCTTGTGCTTTCTTAACCCGACTGAACGGACATAACTTTTTACATAGGTGATCATTTATAACGATTAGGGCATTAGAGGCTCCTTGACCCAGACATTGTCTAAGTCTTTTGTGTGGTGGTTTCAACTTTGTAGTTGAACCTCTTTTCCCTCTTAGTTTCAGAGGCATCCTCACTGCTTTCTCGGTGGGTATAAGTCTCACTTTTGTAGATTCCACCAACATAAGCTCAATGGGATTTTAATGTTTCTTTCCTTTAACTTTAGGGCTATCAGGATTCTTTGGATGACACAACACATTGGTTGCTGACAAGGCATCTCAAGTTAGGCTGGGTTGACTACCTTCACGATGAAGTCGACTTATGATATTAATAGCTTGAGATGAAAAATCTATAGAGTCCTGTCCTGACTATCTCTACTCGATTAAGTTGTCCTTATTTTTTATTAGTAAACCACTTTGAGGCCAATCTCCCTTTTGAAACCTCGTTAATGTCATCTCGTGGGCCCCAATTCTTGATAGGTCACTGTCTGTTCCGAATACAGTGATTCACCCTCTGTTCTTATAGCCGAGAGGCTTTGAAGCAAAATGATATTCTTGATTGAGATATCAGAGTTATTTTACAGGCCTCGTTTGTCGACAAATCACCATCCATTTGAGGATTTGAGGGATTCACCCTCTTCCTTTTGGCTGGGTAAAGGTTCTGGACGCATCGGGAAGTTCTTAGTTGAGATAACTGCTTTTCATTTATATACCTATTTCACTAGCTATCATAGATTATAAGCAGAGTTCTTATTATCGAAAGTTTTCTTGGGTATTCTCCAAGATGGAATTAACCAAAGAGATAGGTTCCTTTGACAATTGCTCTTGACCCCGGGAACAAAAATATTTAAATTTTTTAGATAACTTTTTTGCCTGATCTCATCTTATTTTCTCCTATTCCGAGTTGTTTCTTTCTTCAAATTATTTTGATCGTTAAAAAAAGAGGGTTATTGGAAAAGAAAATTATAAGATGATAATCAAACGAGCTGACAATTATGAGCTTTAAAAAGAATAAAAACGACAAACTTATAATGAATCATTATGACTGGACTAGGCTCCATAATTTTTTACTTTTTAGAGTTTTTCACATAAAAGCTGCTCGTATCTCTACGTGTTACTTATACTAGCAGGGTGTGTGTTGAATATTCATGCTACGCAATAATATTAAATAATTAATCTACTGCCATGAATCTTCTGGCATGCATCGATATTGATTTGAATTTCATTATTAGTACCTATTTACTAAATCTCCCGCTATTAATCTCATCCCTTCTTATTCGCCAGATTTAAATTCCATCAATTCAACCAGAATTTCCCCACTATAAACTTCACCTTATCCTTTGGAACTCGCCAACATAGGAATTTAGCGATCCGAACCTGCTATAGAAATTCACAATGGGTATTCATTCATGAACATGCCCAATTCTCAAAATTAGTAATTTATAAGTACATTAATTACAGAAACCACATTCCCCTTCATTCAAATAAGAACGTTGAAACATAGAAGGATAAGGTACATATAAAACAAACTATTATTTTTTTCATTAAAAACACAACTCAAATACATAATTTCAAAAAACACAACTTAAATCTTATTTCAAATACCCTCAAGAAGCATCCGTTACAATTTTTTTCATTGGACAAAATGACACTCCATTTATTTCCAACGAATGTGCTAAGCATTACGTTCGAGCACGTCGGTTGCACTTCTCTTATAATCTTTTATTAAAATAATAGTACCATACATCAATCATACAAACTACTAAATCAAGACTCATCCACCCAACGATCAAACTCACAGTGCTTCACATCTGCAAATGCTTTGGCAGCTTATTCCCACACACAGACTTCACATGTACAGTCACCTGACTAAAATGATCATGGTTGCCTCCCCAAGGAAAGTGAAAGAATATGCTCCTTCACAAACTCCTTTATCCTTCGCTTCAACAACTTGTCCTTTACAGCAGCAAGCATGCCCTCATAGAACATCTGCAGCCTGGCAAGCTCTTCTGTGTCAGCTGCCTCCATCACATTTTCCAACTCTCTTTTGATATCAAACACTTCAGAATCATACAATGACTGCGGCAAGTTCCTCTGATCAAGTGATTTCCTAAAGATCGAGACATGGAGCACAGTAGCATACCGCTCCATAAGTGCATGCTTCTCGCGAAGAAGACTCAATTCCTCCATAGCATCAGATAATTTCCGATCAGTTGCTGACTCGGAACTACTCCCACTCCGATGAATGCTTGGCTTAATTTCATAGTTTCTCTGGTTCTGTACTTCTTTCTTTAAGCCTGCTTCAGATGATGGCCACATCAATGGAGCTGGTACAAAGCTATCAGCAGTGTGGCCTCTCCCAAGTACACCACTCCTTCCCCTTCCCCAAGCCCAGAGCTTATCACCATCACCTGCAACTAAAACAGTATGTGCAGCACCACATGCCACCTGCACAGGCAAAGGAAATAGACCTCCAGGTGCCTCGCTGCAATGAAGCTTTACAGGGAAGAGAGCATCACCAGCATCATCTCCTGCCAAGCCAGCACCGGGACACAAGCCAAGACCCTTCTCCATTCCCCACGACCAGACATCTCCGCTAGCGGAGAGCACCAATGTGTGGAATAGACCACAATCAAGAGAAATCAGAATGGTCTCCCGAGGCAATCCATTGACCGGCTCTGGCAATGATGTGCTCATGGTATTTCCATGACCAAGTTGCCCATTCTCACCAAGTCCAAATGTCCAGCACCTGGATTCAATCTCCTGGTCATATGACTTCTTATGTGTGAGAATTGCAGTGTGGAAGGCTCCACAAGAGATCTCATAGATAGCCCAAGGGGAATCTTCTCCAAATGTTGAGATGGACTGTGGGCGAGCCCTGGCCTCCTTGTCCCCTAAACCAAGCTGTCCATGGTTGTTGTTGCCCCACGCATAGCACATGAGATCAGCGCCGCTGAAATTCTCACCAACACTGACAGCAGCGACAACATGTTCGTTCCCGCAGGCCACTTTGACGACCGTATGGCCATGGAAGTCCCAGACAGGTAAAGGAGAAGAGCTGCTCACTAGGCTGAAAACCTCTTCATCTGTGCTACCAGGCTGAGGGCTGTTGCCCCATATCCACAGAGCTCCAAGGTTATCAATGGCAAGTGACATCATTCCTCCAGCTTTGATTGAAGAAACCTGCAAAAATTGCAAACTTTGGATAAATGAAATCATGTTTAAATAGCTGTTGGTCTTCTCGAGAGTTGATTCAAGAACTTGAAGTAAATATATAACCTACCTTCAAGAAAGTAGTTTGACCGCCTGCATTTTGTTCCCTTGAAAGGGAGTTTGTTGCACCCAACTCCTTGAACTGCTCTATGACTTTCGGTACTGAAGAATTCTCCTCACCATGACCAAGCTGGCCATCCATAAACTTGTCAAGGAAAGTGCGTTTTATTAGAATGGAGAATTCCCATTGTGGATCTTGTATTGATTGCTTGGCATAAATAAATGAAAAAGGATACAGATGTTGTAACCCCAGGACCAAACTGAACCATCATCTGCCATAATAGGAGTAAGAAATTTAGTCAACATACCAATTGCGAAAATTGTAAAAATAGCTAGGGCTGGTAGAGATAATAATCTTGTAAAAAGTTTGGAAAAATGTTTAAAAGAAAATACTAATGTTTTGCTAGCTTGAACTACATTTTCCTGTACCAATCTCAATCGCTGTCCAAAAAGCTGGAGAGAAAACGAGCAGAAATTTCAGTGCTAAATATTGCAGTTTGCACATTGTCGGAGCTATCACCTATGTCAACCCGCCTCTACGATAATCACTAGACTAAAAAAACTAGAAATCATTTGACTGATCACATGAGTTGGATAAAATCAAGATGACAGCTAAAACATGTAATATTCAATTAGAAATAGATACTATAAAGAACATCATACCACAAAAAAACACAGAGCATAATTATAAGCGTTTCTTAAGGAAAATAAAATAAATGATATAATCCACTTAGTGCCAAATTGATGATTGAAGGCCTATGATGGTGATATCCTTCTTGACTTCTCTTTGCAAGAGCTAGAAAGGGAGGGGAAGGCAGTGGTATGTCATAAAAAAATTCACTTGATCAAGCACGAATCTTGAAGCATATCAACTTGGACAATTTCAAATCACTTTCATGGTTATCCCAACTCTAACTTCATGAAATTCATAATAAAACTAAATGACTCAACAGGTTGAACTCAACAACTTGGAGAATTATCTAGTTCGAACCAAAATGAGCCTAGATCAAGCACTCAAAGTATGGTTAAAAGTTTGAGGATATTAATTAAGAAATCAAATGATCTTTAAACTTTACATACTTATAGTTGAATCAAGTGTCTTGGTGAGAAAAGTCAAATGTGACCAATGTCAATCAATTTTTAGGTAATTAAGGTGCTTAAATATTGAAAAATAATCCACGATCAAAGCAATTAACATAAGCCAAAATTTTGGATAGATCTATCAAAGTATCACTTATAAAAGTTATAAGTAGATCCTCATTTTCTATATGTAGAGTATTTGGACTTGAATTTAAAAGAGCTTAGAGATCTAATAAATTTTAAAGATCTTTCTAACATTTAATGTCATCAACCACCATTATCCAACCATCATCACCTGATTATCATCGTTTGACTACCATTGCCAAACTAGCATTTGTCCAACCGTCGTTGCCCAATTGTCATCGTTCAACCATTGTCGCCCGGTGTTGGGTTGTCTGTCCACTAAAAATAATTATCGTCCGACCACCATTGCTCAACTGTCTCACGATCATAATCATTCATTTGTCGAGATTTGAGTGTGATCACTCAATCATTATTATCATTCTTCTATTACTTCAAACTTAACTACATTTATCAAAGACCAAGATGAAAAACATTACTTTGTAATCTTATTTTCTAAAATAAAAATGGAAAATAAATTTTTATATCTCAACTAACATAGTAGATAATTTTCTTAGACCACACCTTGTGATTTCTCCTTTTTAGTTTTACATAAGAACTTCAGTGACTTATACACTCTTTTCGTTTATATATTTATATGTGGGACTATTTGTTTACATAACAGATAATGTAGATAAATCTTCTAAGAATGCATACTTCAAATGTGTAGGAAGTGTTTTCAGTTCTAGTTCAGGAGGTTTCTCAACAGATGAAATCAAATTCTTGTTACTTTTTGTAAGATCTAACATTTCAAATTTTTATGATCTCAACTAACATAGTGGATAATTTTCTTAGACCAGACCTCGTGATTTCTCCTTTTTAGTTTTACATAAAAACTTCAGTGACTTGTACACTCTTTTCGTTTATATATTCATATGTGGGACTATTGTGTAAACTTAAAATGAACATATTTCATTTTGTCGTATAGAGAAAATGTTTAATTCCAATAGAAGCTAAGAAGACTATTCATGCAATATCCCCTTAGAAAATTCTTTTATATAATTTTTATACAGATGGAGAAAATAGAAGAAAGAAGTTGCACAGAGAAGAGAGAAGAACAACCAAGAGAACATATGAAGATGAAAGAGAGGAAAAGTTAATGATTCAAGATGAAGAGGAGGGTGTGCGGCCCCACCCCTTGAGTTTGTTGAGGATTTACATGTTTCAAAAACAAAAATATTGTGTTCTTAATACTTGGAAGAGTGAGATTTCTTTTTCAAAAGTCTACGGAAGTCCGAATTACATATGTAAATACGAAGTGTAGAAGGTAAAATAATATAAATGCATCCTTATAGGGTTGTCATGTAAGTATTTATTATAAAGTACTTGATGTGTCATCAACAAATTTTAATCATTTGGCACTAATCTAAGGCAATTGTTTGAAAAAGAAGCAGTTTGATTCAAATTAAAGATCATCTAGGGCTCCAATTTCAACATTTTTAAAGTCAAACTGTCTTGCTCGATAAGAAGAATTCGACGATACCAAAATTGGTCCAATTTGTGTCAAATCAAGTGAAAATCAAGTCAGTAAAGACCATTTGGAGGCTTCAAATCATTGATTGAATTCTTAAACGAACTCGAAATCTGACTGTCTATAGTCAAATCAAACATCTTAACGAAAGGAAGGTGACGTGCCTAAGCTCCCTTAATTTTGAGGTCATTAAGGCCCCTCAAATCATTAAAAAAGGCCACCATAAGATCATGGGGATCAATATGGGCTATCCGATCAAATAGTTGGGGAAGTTACCCACCAAAGAGCTAAAATGTCTCTCCTCAAGAGCATATAAGATAAAACCCCTCACTTCAGAGGAGATGAGTCAAATTCTAATGTTGTTCTGGACCAAATGCCAGCGATGACTTATAGCCTCCATAGTCGCCAACCACTATTTGTCGGCCATCGTTGACCACCCCTACTCGCTACAATTGGAGAACGCTATTTGCTTACAAAGTATTTCGAATATGGTGTAACAATATCTGAATACGATGTAACAAAGTATAAAAATACAGTGTAACGAAATATCCTGAATATGGTGTAATGAAGTATCCCGAATACGACGTAACAAAGTATCCCGAATACGGCGTAACGAAGTATCCCGAACACAAGATAACGAAGTATCCCGAATACGACATAATGAAATATCCTGAATGCGACATAATGAAGTATCCCCAAAACGGCGTACTAAATATCCCGAATACAACGTAACAAAGTATCTCCAATACGGTATAACGAACTATCCCAAATACAGTGTAACAAATTATCCTAAATACAGTGTAACGAAGTAACTCGAATACAATATAACAAAAAATATCGTATTGAAGATCTGGCGATAACATCTGATTCCAACTACTTACAACCGACGTATTCAGAATACAGAGTTTTTCACCAAACCCTTGAAGTTCTTCATATGTCGTATACCAACAAGTGTTATCTCTGGCAAAAAATAACAAACCTGAGAAAACGGTTGTAACTACTAACCGATGTAACACCAACTATTGCCTATGTGGCCACTAACCACTGTAGCTTCTGACTACACCCTCTGTGGTCAATTACAATTGCAGCTTCCCAATACAACTTCTATGGTCAACTGATGCCCTTGTATTAACCAACTATGACCTCTGTGACAAGTTACTACTATAACTTCCCATTACAGTCTCTATGGTCAACTTACCGCTTTTGCAGCTATCAACTACAACGTATGTGGTCAGTAACTACTACAACTTCCCATTGCAGACTCTATAAAAATTGATGCTTTTGTAGCTAACAAGTATGACCATGTGATATTTGGGCTATAATTGGGCTACAAGATATGATATATAACAATTTACAACTTCTCAAGGACACGACCTATGTGATCAATTATGACCAATTTAAACTGCTACAATAGCTTCGAACTATGATCTCTGTGGCCAAATACTGCTATTGCAACTACTGATTATGGCCTATGTGACTACTACGATCTATGTAGTCAACTGCTACTATAATTATCAACTATGAATTCTACGGCTAACTGATTTTATTGCGGCTACCGATTATAATCTTTATAACAAAATACTATCTTTGTAGCAAATAACTATGGCTTTTACGGTATAATCTCGTTATTATCACTAAAAACTACACTTGTTGTAGCCCAATTATAGCTATCAAATTTGGATGACAATTGTACATCTATAATTATACAAATTGTAAGTAAATCTTCCCTAACTCTGGAGAGGAGTAGACCTATGGACTTACATTTTATAATGGATGATTTGAACAAGGCTAGAACTCGTGGTTTTTTCCTCTTTTAGAATTTTTTCACATAAAAGATCTTGGTGCCTCCCACTAATACTTCATTATTTGTATGTGTTGGATCTTCGTACAATACTAAAATATTAAATATCACTGTACCGCCATAAATCTTCTGGCACACAACAGTTTGATGTCGTTAATAAGAAACAATATTCCGTCTATAGAAGTTTACACTTCTTTGATGGCTAACAAGCACAATACACAAGCTTTCTCTATAATACCCACCATTCTAAGGTGAAATCTCGAAGTGAGGGATGCAAACCTCTGCTCCATTTTTTTATCACATTGGTCATCCAACTACTGTAAAATCCATTAGAGGCACATAGCTAGCACTACCTCCACACACTGAAGCTCCTCTTGAGAAAGCTAACCTCTTGTACATTGTTGGCTATACGCATTCACCTTGTGTGGTCAAGTCTAGCAACAAACCTCCAAAAAATATAGAGAACTTAATTTGGTCGCAAACAATCTGTGATGAGATATAAAGTTGCAAGAAGAATTCATGTCCTTTCGGCAAAACTCTCAAAAGTCATCACTTGTCAATGAAATTGTTCTTCAACACCCTATTCCAATAGGGTTCAAGCTTTCAAGTATTATTTTTTATGATAGGATGTCTGGCCCATATGAACAACTTGATAGTTACATATAACGAGCTCCTAATGCGCTCCATTATACTAATCTGAAAGGCCAAACACAATTGATTTTATTCACCCCCAAAAGGAATCATTCATACATTTGATGAGTTTGTTAACATGTTGCTAAAAAAATTCATCGCAAATTGAA